GAGATAACTGGTCAGACAGGTTTGAAGCCCCCTTGCATAATGACTCATCCCCTGCCCTGCTGGGCCGTGCTACAGGCAGCAGCCAGTGAGGGCCCCCCACAGCCCACTGCCCAGCACAGCAACCAGCAAGGTACCCCCCCTACATCACAGGTCTCCCTTCAGGGCTCACCTCACAGCGTGGGGCGGTCTCCCTGTGGGGTCTCCGTGTGGGGCTCCCCTTGCAGCGTAGGGCGGTCTCCCTGTGGGGTCTCCGTGTGGGGCTCCCCTCGCAGCGTAGGGCGGTCTCCCTGTGGGGTCTCCGTGTGGGGCTCCCCTCGCAGCGTAGGGCGGTCTCCCTGTGGGGTCTCCGTGTGGGGCTCCCCTCGCAGCGTAGGGCGGTCTCCCTGTGGGGTCTCCGTGTGGGGCTCCCCTCGCAGCGTAGGGCGGTCTCCCTGTGGGGTCTCCGTGTGGGGCTCCCCTCGCAGCGTAGGGCGGTCTCCCTGTGGGGTCTCCGTGTGGGGCTCCCCTCGCAGCGTAGGGCGGTCTCCCTGTGGGGTCTCCGTGTGGGGCTCCCCTCGCAGCGTAGGGCGGTCTCCCTGTGGGGTCTCCGTGTGGGGCTCCCCTCGCAGCGTAGGGCGGTCTCCCTGTGGGGTCTCCGTGTGGGGCTCCCCTCGCAGCGTAGGGCGGTCTCCCTGTGGGGTCTCCGTGTGGGGCTCCCCTCGCAGCGTAGGGCGGTCTCCCTGTGGGGTCTCCGTGTGGGGCTCCCCTCGCAGCGTAGGGCGGTCTCCCTGTGGGGTCTCCGTGTGGGGCTCCCCTCGCAGCGTAGGGCGGTCTCCCTGTGGGGTCTCCGTGTGGGGCTCCCCTCGCAGCGTAGGGCGGTCTCCCTGTGGGGTCTCCGTGTGGGGCTCCCCTCGCAGCGTAGGGCGGTCTCCCTGTGGGGTCTCCGTGTGGGGCTCCCCTCGCAGCGTAGGGCGGTCTCCCTGTGGGGTCTCCGTGTGGGGCTCCCCTCGCAGCGTAGGGCGGTCTCCCTGTGGGGTCTCCGTGTGGGGCTCCCCTCGCAGCGTAGGGCGGTCTCCCTGTGGGGTCTCCGTGTGGGGCTCCCCTCGCAGCGTAGGGCGGTCTCCCTGTGGGGTCTCCGTGTGGGGCTCCCCTCGCAGCGTAGGGCGGTCTCCCTGTGGGGTCTCCGTGTGGGGCTCCCCTCGCAGCGTAGGGCGGTCTCCCTGTGGGGTCTCCGTGTGGGGCTCCCCTCGCAGCGTAGGGCGGTCTCCCTGTGGGGTCTCCGTGTGGGGCTCCCCTCGCAGCGTAGGGCGGTCTCCCTGTGGGGTCTCCGTGTGGGGCTCCCCTCGCAGCGTAGGGCGGTCTCCCTGTGGGGTCTCCGTGTGGGGCTCCCCTCGCAGCGTAGGGCGGTCTCCCTGTGGGGTCTCCGTGTGGGGCTCCCCTCGCAGCGTAGGGCGGTCTCCCTGTGGGGTCTCCGTGTGGGGCTCCCCTCGCAGGGAAGCTGGGCCGGGCGGGGTCTCCTGGGGGAGTCGAGGACGAGGATTTTCACACTTCCTCAAGGCCACCAAGGAGAGAGCCCGAGCCCTGCCCACATGCAGGTGCGGCCCCTGCCCAGGGGCCCATGCTGGGCACAGAGCTGCTCCTGGCTGAGGCTGGCCTGGGAAGCTGGGGGTGCTGTCCCCAGCCTGTCCGTGCCATGTGGGATCCCCGCCACAGCTGG